ATATATCGGTCCTACTTGACGTAATCAAAATTTATGAACTACACATTTTCATGTGCTTCTCACACTCCTTGCACCTCTACATTTTATTTATCATGTTTCAAATCTTCTATGCTCATTTATATGCATTTATGACTAAGTCACAGTTATATGCCTTAGATAATTTCTAATGAATGCATGTGGAGAGAGGGCAGTGCAGATCATTTTTTGGTAAGGTAATTACTGAAAAACCAAACATTTAAGTAAGATGTTAGAAGGCTCCTCAATCAACTTGCCTCCGATATGCACCTCTGGTTCCATTTTGGTTCACATCCTCTTATTTGAATGGTTACCTATCCTATCGAAAACAAACTTCAAATTTCATTCACCAGAAAGGCTCTAATAGATGATGTTTCATGTGGAATACGATAGGAATAGATACATTGAAATACATTGACCTAAGATTCAATTGCATCACACAGAGATTACGTGTCAAGGGCATCTAACACCATTTGGAGCATAGTTATTTTGTCTCTTGAGTTAGTTCATTCTACATTTGGGAGATAAGCCACACAAAGGTGACACTCATAAAGAACAAGAAACTAATTCATATCGACAATACCAAGTTCAATTATGCTATTCGAAATAATTCTTTATAAGTAAATAAAGAAGAAATAATAGCTTAAGATTATAAAAAAGTTAGTCTCAAATAAAATACATTCCTTTTAATCATACAAAGGACTACAAGTGACAGCAACGAGTGATAAAAGAAATCATGTTAATGCATTATCTTATGTGTAAACCCTAGGGACCTTGATTTTTTTGGCACGTTACAAAGAGTTTCTAACATTTAAGGAATGAGAAAGCATTCAAAGGTGATACACCGTCATGCGGAGCACGTGCCCCCCATACAAATCAACAAACTTCAGTTCTTGCATTTCAATTGCACTATAGTCGTTAAGCGTTACTTACGTCACTAATCATCATGCGTCATGGTAATTAATTAAATTCTCATTTGCAGAAAATATTAATCGTTGAGCGCTATTTACATCACTAAATATGGCTCAACGAGGTTTTGGAGGCAATAAGTATCACTCTCTTATCATTTTCTGGCAATGCTATATGGCAGGGTTCAAAAAATTGGAGATCTAATCCGGAATTGGGTAATTTGAATCGGAAATCGCCGAGGACATTCCGGATTAGGCATAAAAATGGGATTTGTTCAAGTCTGATGAAAAAATCGTCGATTTTTTAGTTTTTGGGGCGAGTCTCACCGATTCCTTGCATAAACAGTGAAAAAATCACATGATTTTCACTTTTTGTTGTATTATTGCTCACAATAATGCATCAAAACGGTATAAAACAGCGGATTGAATTCAAAGTTTTGAAAAAAACTGTCTGAGTTCTAAAAATTTCCGCCATTTGATGAATTACATGCAAATTATAGAGTTTTTTTTATCAATATCAGAGGGTTTTAAAATTTCAAAATGTTATTGAGAGGATTATAGTCGTATTTTTTCTGATTCAACAATTAATTTGCTTGATATTTGAAGAAATCAAGCTCCAGAAACGTTTTTTATTACGATCCGCCAAAGTGATGATTTCTACTGAAATTGAGCACCATAGTGCATGATATCTTAAGGTTTTTTTTTCTCATGAAGTTCTTCAGGTCATTTTGTAAGTTGTAAGTTATTTTTATTATTAACAAATTTTTGTTCATCAATTTATGAAGAAATTGTGACTGATTCTTGAAGAACCCTAATTTTCATATAATTTTCCCCACTTGATTAATTTTAGACGAAATAACTAGTTTTTGTAATCAAAATCAAAAGGTTTTGAAGCTTAAAGTGTTATTTAGAGTATTGTAGTCATAGTTTTGGTGATTAAACATCTATTTTGCTCAATTTTTGAAGAAATCAAGTTTTGGCAACATTTTCTGAAAATGTTTTTCGCTGAAGTGCTGATTTCAACACAAATTGGTACCATTTTAAATGCCATTGGAGGGTTTTTGAAGCTCATGATGTTCTTCAAATTATTGTGTGGGTTATTTACTTTATTAACAAAATTTCGTTCATCAATTTTTGAAGAAATCGTGGTTTTGTGTGAGTTATTTACTTTATTAACAAAATTTTGTTCATCAATTTTTGAAGAAATCGTGGCTGATTCACGTGTACCTGAAGAACCCTAAATTTCGAATAAAATTTTTTGATGAATATAAGTCGATTTAGATCGAATTGATCTGCATTATTTCAATCCGTATATTTATTAGTAACATGATTTACCATATATATATATATATATATATATATATATATATATATATATATATACTTCGTCTAGTAATAGTCTAGTTAGTAAGTAACGTACGTTACCTTACGTTTAGTAAAACGTAACGTACTACGTTAGTTAGTATAAGTA